GGGACTACCACTTTTTACCTCACCTCTCCCTAACCACATACCAGCTCAAACATACACACATAAACACGCACATGCACATTCACATACACAAATAGATGTCATGTGAATATGGTCATTTGTAAAACTCTGTCGATGGTTGAGTTATTTTATGAGTAAAAAACCGGTGGTGAAGCATTTGCCCGTTCAGTTGGTCAAATACGAACTCAATCGCTCTGGGTCGGATGGGCTGAATTAGGACGAAAAATCAAATGTACCCACACAATCAGACGACTAGGACTCGGACTACAGCCATGCCCATCAAAAGGGGTATTTCTCGGTCTATCTGTACTGGACTACAGACTCGACCTTGTCCCAGCCTCAGCGGGACTCGAACTCGCGTGGTCAAACGTCGAAAGTAGTATTCAAGTAGTATTATGTGGTAATTTCGTAATATACTCATACTGAGTTTGAGCAACTTCATTTATTGCAATGAAATCTATCGGTTTGACTCATCAACAATCCCACAATAAACTGTGGCTAAGGAGAGACTTTGTCGTTCTGCGGGCTAGTGATGCAGGGCCTTGATGAAAGCTATGTGGGCTCGAAACTCGTTGAGGGTACTGATGGGGGTGGATTGGCTGTGGGCAAGATTGAACCATTAACCCTTGGCTCACTGTAAGCACTCAAGGCTGATTCAGTTCTCATTCAACAAACCTAACCGGCCAACCTTTCCCCGCCGGTTTTGTGCTCACAACGACATGTTTTGAAAGACTTGGCCCCATCCTTGCAATATCTGCCTTTGTTGTTGTGTATGTGAGAATAAAAAGTGGCAATTCCGAGTGGCGACAACAACAACAACAAGGGTGGTCTGGTCTACCAGGTTTTCCAGCTTGTAGGTAGAATACAGATGTTGTCCGTGTGTTGTTGTGTCAGTTGGCACGGCAACCGAGAAATGATACAAGAACTGGTTTGGCTCTATTCTGTTTCAGATGATGAAGGACTGTTATTTGAATTATTCTAAAATGATGTAAGTGACCCACGTGTTTTCACATGGCCTTGCTTTCAACAAGGTCTTCTCATCCAGGCAGGGGTAGGGTACAGTTTCACTCTCGCCTCAGCAGCCCCAGCGGGACTCGAGCCCGGATTTGACTAGTTCAATGCTCAGTTTCGACACGTTATCCGCTGAGACACTCTGCCACGAGTGCAATTGGGCCACGAGGCAGGTGTGCATTTTTTCCCGCATCACATTCTCCAGTGGGAGTTTCGACAATGCAAAGTTGTGTTTGCTATACCAGTCGACAACATTACTTATTTTTTCGTTTTGCAAGTTCAGCATCTTAAACCAACTTACATAAACTGAAAAGAAATTAGATCGTTGACTGTTATAGCAAACACAACTTTTTGAAAGTCACTTAAGACAACATGTTTTGCTCATTGCAATCGACGACTTTACTCATGTTGGATGTGAGTAGGCAGCACATTGAATGCTAATAATACAGTCTATGCTCAAAACAACCAATTCGCATAATTGATAAACTCGGTGGTAGGGATAGCATGATTCCACTGCAGTCACACTGCCCGGGTTCGAGTCCCGCCAGGGGTGGTGATGTGACAAAGTCAAGCGAGGTCGAAAGCGCAGTCCACTCCTGCCTGAAGGAGAGCGGCTTTTGGCACAGCCGGGCTGTGTGAAATGGAATGAAAACACAAGTTCTTCTCGTCTGATTGTGGGAAAAACTGGACTACTAATGGCATTATCCTCTAACCGAAATAGTATGAAAATAGCTCAAACATCAGATGAACGTGTAGACGAGAGATGAATGTCTTTTCTTGTCAGAAGCGAAGTAGAAAGCAAATGCGGTTTGACTGATCTGCCGAATGGGCTTGTTTCGATTGTAGGGCTTTCTGACGGCCATGAAACAGGAGATGAGTCGTCAACTGGGCAACTGGCCTCTGGACTCGGTGGTCATCTGCAACCGGGTCACTCGACTGACGGTGGAAGAGGTGCGCGAGGCCGCCAAAGACGGCGTCTACGTGCACGGTCTGTACCTGCAAGGCGCGGCGTGGGACCGCAGAAACAGCCGCCTCGTAGAGGCCAGAGCCAAACTGCTCTTCGACGTGATGCCTGTCATCAACATCTCAGCCCAACTCGAGCTCGCCTCGGGTCAACTGTTCGGCGGCTTCTCGACGACCGATCCTAATGCCGCCGGACTCGGACCTGGAGCCGGTGGCGCCTCGGGCGTCGGCGCGTCTGCCTCGTATCGCCAGACAATTGTTGCAACGTCGATGCCGACGGCGACGGCTACGGCAACTTTGACGACGATGGCGATGGCGACGGCGACGGCGACGTCGAATCGGCTGAGGGCTGCGTCCGGTCCGTTTGAGGCGTCCGGTGGCGCCAATTCAGGCCGCAAACCGGCTGCCTCCCAACGACAAAACATCGTCTCCAACGGCTCCGCGGCCTCGGCCGGTGCCACGCTGCCTCGCGGAGTCGACGCCGCCGCTTCGACTCGGTCGGCCGCGACCGTCGGCGCCAGAAGCGGCGCGTCGACGTGCGCCTCGCCGTCGCCGGCTGCCTCGCACTCCAGCCCCTTCGACGTGGCCGGCCAACGCAGCTACCTCGCGCCGGTCTACAAGAAGCCGCGCAGGACCGCGCTCAACTACGTGACCAGCCTCCGGCTCAACTGCTCAAAGACGGCCGATCATTGGATCATGCGTGGAGTCGCCCTACTCTGTGACATTCGCTAGACGCACACCCGCAAACAAATTCGTCTTCACTTCTTCTCGAACGCGTATTTTCGCTTGTCTACAAATCTTGATCTTTCGTGTTACCTCTTGTTGTTTGTTATTCTGTACAGTTATTCATTAAAGCCTTTATCAGCCAACCACTTTCGGTTCAACAGAGCCGCTTCTGCCAGCCTCATCTCAACACGCCGCTTAGAATGATTAAATATTAATTGTTAAGGGGACCTTTATTTGGTATGAAAGTGTATGAAGAAGAGATTCGTTGGTCCATCTTATCAAATGAGGATGGATGAATCTCAATGTACATGTTTCGAGTGAAAACGTGCTGAGCTTTCGTCCATCAAATGGTGGACATCATCAGAGCTGGGTGTCATTATTGTCCATCATATGATGGACGAAAGCTCAGCATGTTTTCACCCAAAACGAGGGAGGAAGTCTCGTGGACTGCGTCAACAGGAAGATCGAATAAAATCCGAGATTCATCCGTTCTCATCTGGTGAGATGGACTAAGGAATCTCTTCTTCATGCACTTTCATACGAAATGAAGGTCCCACTAACAATGTTATCTCAGGAGATTCATCGAAACCAAGTTTCTCTTCGTATCTACAATGTACGTACGGTTCGATTTCTTGTCATTTTATCTTCGCGCTACACTACAATCAAGAAAACTATATCCCGGACGGTGAATAGAAT